CACTTACTTACTCACTTACATACTCACTTACTCACTTAATCACTTACTTACTCACTTACATACTCACTTACTCACTTAATCACTTACTTACTCACTTACATACTCACTCACTTACTCACTTACGTACTTACTTACATACTCACTTACTTACTCACTCACTTACTCACTTACTTACTCACTCACTTACTCACTTACTTACTCACTCACTTACTCACTTACTTACTCACTCACTTACTCACTTACTTACTCACTTACTCACTTACTCACTTAATCACTTACTCACTTACATACTTACTTACTCACTTACTCACTTACTGACTTACTCACATGCATGCAGGCATCCAGGTACTCAAGGGGATTCATCATTGTCGTATTAATGGTTATCGGCTATATACCACAGTTAATCATGATTGTTTTTTTTGCCAATATGGCCCAACCCTAATCTGTCCTCAGGTTTCTGTATCTGTTGTACCACAGTGTTGTACCACAGTGTTGTACACAGTGCAGGCGTTTCCCACCACATCTGTGTAATACTTCAGGAAAGTGACGTTCACAAATATCAGAGGTAGTATTTGATGCTAAATGTACTCGTCTGGCGTCAGACGGGTTTTCGTATCGCAGACTGAGGCGGGCTTTTTCAGTCAGGGATGTCCAGTCCTGGTCCTCCCGGGCCATTATCCTGCATGTTTTACTTGTTTTACTGTCACAGCACATCTGATTCAGACTAAATTACCTCTTCAGGTTCTGCAGGAGCCTGTTAACCACCTGTATGTCCAGATGTGTTGGAGCAGAGAAGGTCTAAACCTGCAGGATTGTAACTCACCAGGACCAAGCTACCTTCATTGGTCAAAAGTTGTAGTCAGACTTGTTTGAGTAAAGTTCTCCAGCGTTGGTTGTTGAGATCCTTCTGAAAGAACTGGTTTAAATCAAACTGATCATGTCTGCAGCTTGTAGGGTTCTCAGTGAGTTCTCTCTTTCTTTAAAGAAAATCAAACAAATATTGGTAAAATCACCTGATAAGAAATGTGAACTTGAAATTAACTTTGTGTTTTTATAAACTATTATGTTGAAGTTCAAACTCTGAATTAGTTGTTCTTTCTCTACATGATTTGCCTTTTTGTCTGACTCTGCCACAGCACACAGAGGGCTTCAAGAAGAGGTGGTTCACAATGGACGACAGGCGCCTCATGTACTTCAAAGACCCTCTGGTAAGGAAAAAGTTCTGACCTTTTCCTGTGGCTCAGTTCATGGAGTCTATGACCTGTGTGTGTGTGTGTGTGTGTGTGTGTGTGTGTGTGTGTGTGTGTGTGTGTGTGTGTGTGTCAGTACCTGAGTTTCCAAGTGATAGAAGGGTTTGTAGA